ATGTACAAATTGTTACAGATAGTTGTAATGAAAATAAATTCCCAAGTAATGTGAGTGAAGGTTGTCCAGATTTTGAGAGCCAGGAGTGCTCTAACATTAAGTTGGAAACCAATGTTGAAAGTGTTAAAGAGAGCGCTGCCAGCTCTAAAGGTGCACTTGTTTATGATTTTCAAGAGGAGGTGAGATGTCAGGTCCATGAGTTGGGAGGTGAGGCTTTTAATTGTATTGTTAAACAAAATGAATCTGTTAAAATGAACTGTTGCCATGATTTCTTTGAAGTTCCTGATTTGTTTGAATTTCTTTTTTATGAGAATCGTTTTTCATTTTATAACAATTTAAAAATATGTATTGTAAAACTGAGATTTCACATGAGTTATGACCACGGGTCAAAAGAACAGGGAGAGATAATTTTAATTATAATAAACATGTTGAAGCATAAAGTTGTGAAATCCACGGACAAAAGATATGTCCCGCCATCTGTAGCTGTGTTATTTAAGAGCAAATAAAGGCTGCTCAAATTGTGGTGAGGCATCTCTCACCTGTAATAATGTTAGATAGTTTTGTGTTTTTATAGTGATGACCATTGGTTTTATTTAAAAATACACCTTTTTGATGATATGATTTGGATTAACTTAGTTATAGTTTCAACTTCAGTAAGGATATTGATGTATTTGCCCGGATTTTTGAGATACAAATATAATTATTTTTATTGGTATGAAAAATGAAAATTAATGTTGACATTCAATTTCAATGGTCTGATTTTTATTGTCGTACATGAATTTTTAACTCTTGAATTGCATTTAAAATTATGTACGATGGATTGTTTATTTTATTGCAGTATATCATAAATCTGTTTGATTTTCAGTGATACCTAAATAATGTTTTTTGATAAGGACCATTCATATGGCTGAAGGGTTCTTCTTGATGTAATTGATGTAAATTTTGTATGTCTGGTGACGATTTCACTCCCTGAGTAAAATCTGAAATGAAAGAGGGGGGATATGTCGAGTATGAGCGTTCATTAGGAATTGTTGCGACTCAATATTATGTTCATTAGTTGTTGAACGCTTTTCCCGCGCTTGACTATTATAGTTAGTGAACGCTCTTCCCGCCATTGTATTTATGACGTATTTTTATGCTGAGTCGTGACGTATTGTCTATGCAGTGTTGTGACGTATGTTTTAGTCGTGCGGCAGTCTTGAGTGGAACCTTGGAGTGATAGGATGTTTATTATATTTACTTAGATATTAAAGTTATAGTTATTATGAAAAGGAGTTGAGTTTGTTAATTGATAGTGAGAATAGTACGACGCTTCAACGTATGAAAGAACTGACGAATGTAATCAATCCAAGAAGACGTTAGGAGTTGACATGGGGGCTTCTCATCCGGGATTGGTGAACCTCGTTATTTTCATACTTGAGGTAAAGTACAAGAACATTCTTATTATTCAACTTTAGTGAAGTTACAACCATCGTCGCATGTTCCCGTATTTCAATGTCGGAGCCCCGCTGCCACCGTGTGTCAAGTTTATATGAGTTGCATACGCCAGTAACTCCATCAACCACCTACGTCCTGTATTAGGCTAGTTATGTCCTAACCTGCAACAGGCTAACTACGCCCTGCCCGTTATCAAGTTGCCAACGTCCTGTCCAGTTCCAGTGAAATAACTACGTCCTGCCCGTTATCAAGTTACTAACCTCGTGTCCAGTTACAGCAAATTAACTACGCCCTGCCCGTTATCAAGTTGCCAACGTCCTGTTCAGTTCCAGTGAAAAAACTACGTCCTGCCCTGTATGAAGTTAACAATGCCGTGTCCAGTTACAACAAATTAACTACGCCCTGTCCGTTATCAAGTTGCCAACGTCCTGTTCAGTTCCAGTGAGTTAACTACGCCCCTCCACGTATCGAGTTATCTACGTTCCTGGAGTTTGATCTATGATAGTTAGAATAGTACGACGCTTCAACGTATGGAAGAACTGACGAATGTAATCAATCCAAGAAGACGTGTAGGAGTTGACAATTGCGACATCTGACAACATTAAAGGTTTGACTTTTACAAAAATAATCCTGTTTTAACATTGTAACCTCACTTCTTTGAAACTGAAAACCTTTCATAAACCCCAAAGCTAGGGTTAGTGCTGCAAATTTTTTTCTTTCTATCTTCTCTCCCCCCACCCCTCATGAAAAATGTCTAAAGCTGGCCGAGAACCTAGCACATCAATTTAAAGTTAAAAAGTTCCACCTGGGCAGACCCCATCCATCTCAAATCCTAAGCCACTGTCCCAGAGACTATATATCCTCCTATAATCGCCAAACTGACTCTCTGTAAGATGTCCGCAAGAAGTTAGGAAAACTGGTTAAAGTTCACATGACTCATTTAATTGTCTATCACAACATAATGGTTAATGAATAAATGGGGGGGGGGGGGTTAAAGAGAGCTACAATTACAATTGTATGGGGGTAGGAGTAGGAGGGGGGGTGTCCAAAAAAAGTATAGGTGCAACCAGGAGAGGGGTGGAGATTTTTAAACAAATCTTTTTTTGTGCAGTAATATATGGCCCCTTTTTTGAAATTTGGATGTAAGTTTTTTTTCATAAGTATTTATCAATTTTTGAGACTTGAGAAAAAAGAAAGGCAGACTCACAGCTTCTTCTTTCTTGATAGTCTCTATGCAGACAAGACAAGCTGAAGTTCCTGACCTGAATGAATGGAGCAATTTTTCTTGTGCTGATAAAACTTCATTGTTATCACCATTGTCTGTCATAATAAAAAAACAATAATCATTGTATCATTTCAATTTGATCATTTTTTTAAACTTACTAAAGCTTGAAATCAAAGGGTTTTTTTTTTTAAATCCTCAGGACTGTGAAAGAACTAATGTTGAAAAAATGTTTTAAAAAATTATTTCAAAAGCTAACTTAATCATAATTCATAATGGTAAAAATAACTTTAAAAATTTTTTTATTGATTAAATAATAAGGTCTTACCAAATGTTTTAGCATATGATTTAAAAACTCCACTGAGTACAAGGCTCCCAATGTCTTCTTCTTCATCCTCTGAATCATCCAGATTATCCTCTGCTTTTGTCAAGTAACGCTGAGCAGAGACCATGTGCTCACTACGAGCTTTAGCAAATAAATCTTCAACAGATTTTATAGCTGAAAGAAAGTTCTTTTTTAACCAAAAAAAAATTTGAAACGAATAGTCTACAATGTATTAAAAAATTTAAAAAATGAGAAATATAAAAATACCAGTAAAATAAAATCTACACTCCATTTTGACTAGATGCACTATACCAAAGCAATCTATTATAAAAGAAGAACAGAATATACTTCTATCATTTATATATAAAATCTAAAAGGCATTTATTTTCCTTACAAGTCTCTAACTGCTGGCTTTGAGCCCTTGGGCTATGGAGATTAGATTTGCTGTTGCCTCTTTGATCTGACCATGGCTTAGAGGGACTTAAAACCCCAGGCCTTTGGGGAGTAGAGTTGTTTCCATTTACTACTTGTGATGCTCCTTGGTGTGATGAAGTTGGTATAGGTGACTGATGATTCACTGATCCTCTACCCCTTCCTCTTCCACGAAGATAAGCTGGATGCGAGTCCATAATAAATCCTGCTTCAAATTTTTATGGATAAATAGTATACAGTTATCTCCATCTGCAAATAAATATCACTGAAATATAGATTAATAGGTGGATAAATAACATATCATATTTAGAACATATTTTTTATTATTTAATAAAAATAAAAAGATTTTAAAAAGTTTAAGCACTAAATAATTTATTTCTTCTTAAATTAAATTCTCAGGGCACTTCTATACAATTTTAGTCAGTATACTATTGACTAGATAAACTTGTTGATTTTGGAAAGCTTACATTTTGGCTTTTTTTTTTACAAATAAAATGAATTGGGGGGGGGGGGGGGGGATGGCAAATTATAATTTTTTTTTTTTTTTTGAATTTAATTAGATTTTTTTTTTTCTTATATGGGGTGTATAAATATAATTCCAAACAAAGGCTCCTGCATGGGCGAATGGAACGAGATTAAACCTTAGTACACATTCACATACCGGTGCCGGTACACTTGATTATCCATATTCAAAAACCGGTACTGAAGATTAATGAACTCATAATTTAAAATTTTTCCTAAAACTAGCCAACATACTAATTACTATACAGTATATACTACACGACACAGCTTCGCTCCTGATGGCATTCAGTTCATTCAGAAATGAACATTTAAAGCCCTTTTTAGACTTTAGTTTAGGCTTTAGCTAACATCTTAATTATGGGGCCCATTTTTTGTGAACATGCTTTCAGTTGAAAAATTGCAATCTGGCATGTAGGGTGAATAAAAAAAAAACAACAAAAAAAAACAAGAATATGTAGAGATCGTTTTTACTCTACCCACTACCGGCTAGTATGTACCAAGTCCAAATGGGGGCTGTAAAACTGTAAATGTAAAGTAAAAATAAAAATCAATAAAAAGAAAAGTTAGTCATTGCTATACAATTTAGTGTTAACTAATGCTGGGTGGACTTAATTTTATAAAAGAATACATGTAAGTTTACACGCTGATAATACGAAATTGGATCAGAAAAATATACGCACCTGAACTGCAAGATTACCACTTTAACAACCTTTCACACTGTTTCCATATCATGTCTGTTTGCGTGTTATTTTCTAAATCAGCTAACTCAACTAACTAAGCCAGGTTACTTAGGCTATGAATGACAGATTAAAATACTTTTCTAAAGTCATATTTATTCATTTAATAAATAGCAATGAATAATTTTATTAAATATTATTTAAATATTATTCTTAAAGATAATTTCGTTATAATTTTACTTTTGAGGCTTAATATCAAAACCATGCTCACTTTCTTTCACTACAATGTATCAATCTGGCAGGGTTTGTTAGTCTTAATTAAACTTTTTTAGCCTATGAATAAAAGCGTCTATAGATGCACATTTCTTCCGGTATGAGTTTGAACAAATCTTGCTAGGACTAGAATCAGAATCAGAAAGGTCTTACTTATCAAACGCTATTATTGATTATACGGTTGGCATAAGTATAAGCTATTTATTATTATTATTAAATATGGTCATCTCTTGCTTTAGCTTTTATTTTTTTTGTTAACATTTTGACATATCTAGGAAAAGATAAAGTAACGTTTTAAAAAGTTTCATATTCTGACTCTGTTACTGTAACTGTAACTGCCGATTGTAACTTTCTACTACTGTATCAGTATCATTGTTTTATTGAATTACTATATGATAGTGTATGTTTTGTTTTTAAACTTTGTAATGAAAAAAAAAAGTATGCCTAAGCCTAATTATTTAAGCCTAATTACATTGAATTAAAACTAAATATTATATACACTATTACTATGACTATATAATATGCTATGGATGTTTTATGGGTTTTAATAATTAGCTTATATTAATTTTATAATTATATATTTTTGGCCAAAAGAGAAATTTGATTTTAAATCAGTTATCATTTATTTTTGGCCTTCATTAGTTGATATGGTAGCATGTGGCATTTCTAAAATATATGAATTTTACACTTAAAATCTGTTCTCCTGATGGATACTGATTACAAAAATTTTAGAAATGTTTTATGTGCATTCATTACAGATGGTAAAGAACAGAATCATTTTATTGGAAATAGATGCTGGCAACTCCATAATTTCAGTTTCTAATTATCGTTTTGGAAAAACCAATAACACATAATCATTTTCACAACCTATTGTTTAATATCCTTTGCTACGGTACCGTAATTCACAGGCCATTGATGTGGGAAGTTTCTATCAGCATTGCATTAAAAATTTTTAACCCCGGTTTATGGGCTTATAGAAGTTAGCCTGTCATATGTAACTATGTCATGATAAATTTCCAATTATCATGAATCTGAGTTAATTTAGATTTATATTTGTACTTGACAGTTGTCTCAGAAGATTAATATACTGAAAACATATTATGGAAATGCTCATTCACTGCTATTACCATCTAGTAGAATAGTTTTTAAAACACAATAATTTGTGATATGATATTATATCAAAAGTTCAAAAGTTATTCATTTTTTCAGAACACATAGCTCTAGTCATACACAATTAACTAAGTATGAATATGAATTAAAGAAATATAGACATCAGAATGGCAACAGGAGATATAAAAAACAATATTAAACAATTGCAACATGAACTCAAAGCTGCTAAATATCCTGAAACTATTGATGTTGATGGGTAAGCACAAAAAATAATGTTGTTATAGTTAAACTTAATACGTAATTCTTACACTTACAGTTTGTGATTCACTTAGACTTATATTGAAGCAAGGGAGATGGGAGTTCTATTACAATTATTATAGAATTGAAAATAATAGTTGCTTTAGTTAATTTTCTTTGAAATTTTCAGACTCGTAAATGGTTCACCGAAGGCTTATCTGGGTATCTACCACTATTTATTTACCCAGTACAGTACAAATTTCAATACAGACATAACCAACTCAAACAATGAACTCTATGGCAAATCAGACATGAGGTTTATGGAGGCTGTCTACAAGGTAAGGATTTCAAAGCCAGTGCATTCCATACTTTTAATTCATCTGTACTGTGGTTTCATTATGATGGTTCTGATGGGTCTTGAAATTCACCTGTGCATATATACCCTGGAATGTGGATATGAGTTGTTTTTTTATTTTTTAGGGTGCTTGCCCCTTCCCACTTTTGAGTTTAATGGATAAATAAAATGTGTCGGATAAGACACTTTGTTTACAATACTTCCTATCACCTGGAACAAACCTCCACATAATCTGCCCAAAAGGACATGGTGTTTACCAAAATCATCTCCGCTTTATTAAAAGTTATAAACATTTGTATTATGCAAACTTAAAAATTTACATTACAACTGCTGCTTTTCTGTTTTTAGATTCTTCGAGATATGTTTGATTACAAGCCACAGATTAACAGAGAGCAGTTTTTCTCATCAGGATATGTAGAAAGAAAAGTGATTATGGCCACAGATATTTTACGACTTGTTCGAAGTGCATACAAACCACCAAAGAGCTCAACTTTTAAAGTGGCAATTACAAAAGAAGATAAAAAAATATCACAAAAAGTAAGTATTTCAAATCATAATTAATATTTATCCACTTGATAACTCCTTTTAGTGGTACCCCAAATAACTAATCAGATTTAATTTAAAGGTGAAGGGTTTTTAACCTTCAGATATTAGGAAGACTCACCGAAAGGCAAATTTTAGTGTTTGAAAATAAATGTCTGAAAAACTGAAAAACCATGATGATTATTATTTTCTGATTTTTTTCATAAACAGGTTAAGGGCTGTCCATAATGTACGTCATGCTATTTTTGACCATTTTTAACCCCCTCCCTCCCCCCTGTCACAAAGTGTCACACTTTACTACACCCCCTCCCCCCTCTGGAGCGTGACGTACTTTATAGACGGCCCTTTAGGTTAACACTATTCACAGGATGTCGAAAGGTGACATTGATTTTAACACCTTTATCCACACCTCAACATCGTCTAAGTAACCTAGCAACAAAAGAAATTAATTGAATAATCTCCTCTTTGCTGCACACATAGTGACATGAATAAATCCTTTTTAAATGGATAAATCACAACTTTAAAATGAAAATATACTCCAATTTTGTTCAAATTATTATTATTTTTTTTTAAATACAGATCAACAGCAAGTTTGTCAAAAATTTAATTTAAAAAGGGAAAAAATATGGTAGATGTCTAAGTTATTGATTTTACCATATTATATTCTAATTATCACCATATCAAAGGAAAAAGTCATGTTGATAGTTTTTTATTTTTATTTTTTATTCTTATTGCTATGTGTAATTTAAGTGTTAAAATGTACCTGACCACTTAATATATAATTTGTTGTTTCTCTATTTTATTGACAGATTCTTCAAGAGCCATGTGGTGAGTGGATATTTAAAGATGAAATGTGATAAAAACTTTTTTTTGTAAGCAGCTAATTGATCTTGATAAAAAATATTATCAACATATTAGACTAAGGATATGTTAAGTTTCAAATCATTATGATACTTATACTAATCTCTATTAAAATTTAAGTTTATTGTTGTATGATGTGATTACGTATTTGTTGAAAATAAATATTTGTTTAATTTCAGAGCCTGCACGAAAGGTAGCAAGCAAATCATCTACCAACATTGCAGGAGCAGTAATCCTCCCAGTGAGAGCATCTCGAGGATGTTTCAAAGTTCCAAAATCTGCTCTTCCACACCTTAGGTTATCAAGTGATAAACAATTTTACCATGGAACGACTGAACTGGAAAAGTTACAAAGTCCTAAACAGTTTCAAGAGAAATCATTAAGTAAGGAGGAGTTATAATAAGGGATTTTTGGGGCTGTTAAAAATTTAGTTGGCTAATATTCCAAGAGATCAATTTTACTTTGTTCACTGACTTAAGTTCATGGTTATCATTGTAGTGAACTAAATTTTTATTCATTCTTCAACCATTCAAAAGCTAATAATATCCATTCAAAATAATGAAACAAATATCATAATGCTGTAATCTGCTAAACCATTCAACATAATGGTAAAAATCTAATAATATTCCTTTGGTTAATTCAAGTAATGCCATAATCTGTTTCATTAAAGATGGTGCAGTCAGTGTTGATGTACCTGAGACACCAAGTGAATCATCAGTGCCCAATGGACAGAATGTAGATTCAGAACTGATTACCGCAGAGGTAAAACGTAAGGTAGTGGATCTGTTATCACCTGCACTTTTGAAGATGAATGAAAAAATTGGTCAACTGGACATTGCCATACAAGTAAGTGATACATGAGATATGTGACCCTCCACGACAAAATGAGTCACTTCTCACCTCGGCCTATTTTGAGCTAGAGTAAAAAATATGTGTTTGGGTCGAAAAGGATAGATTTTGGGATTTTGATTATTTGTAATTATTTATTCATTTCTGCACACATCTATAATATTATTTTTAAAAAATTAAAGCTATAACTTATTTAAAAATTACTTTAAAAATAATGACCTGTAAGATTTTCATGTAAAATCTGCGTAAAATTGAGCATATTTATATTTTTTTGAACGCTAGTTTCTTCATTATCCTTTCGAGCTAACTCGCCATGTTTGGCATCATTGGAAAGAGTATTCTCCCTTTTATTATTATGTCTAACATACACGTAGGCTTTATAAATATCAACCAACCAAAAGGCTTAAATTAATAAAGGATTTTTCGGAAAATAATGTAAATAATGCTGTCACTAGGAAGGGAAAGCCGTTTTTTCATTGAACGATACTAGCACGTGACTTTTTCTAACCAACCCCAGCGAATGTTTATGCTTAACTTTTCAACATGGCTGCCTCCAGTACGAAAGAAATTACTATCGCTAAAGCACTTAATTCGGCTAGAAATGCAAATATTAATGATGAAAAAGATTTGGAAAGTGTTGAAAATATTATACAAGAGTATTTTACAACACCAGCATTGGATGACACTGACGGATCTAGCTCTAGTGGTGAGTCTGAAGCGAGTGATGACGAAGAAAATGCATCTGCTCTGCTGTGTACACTTGATCAACTTGGATGTAGTAGTGATGAAGAAGAAAATGACCCACCTTTGATCGAAGATGTTTCTATAAACAATCAAAGCTATAGTGGCGTTATGCAGCCAGACGAAGAAAAGAATAAGGTGGCATCTTTTGATTGCCGATGCTCGATAAATTCATTGCATAGCTCTGTCTCGACCTCAATAAAAAAAGGGTGCATTGGACAATTCACAGCTGATGAGATTTTAGGGCGAAGGCTGGACATGCAGGAATTAACAGAAGGTAAATATATTATTCAGCCTTTAAGTGTTATTCATATTTTTTAGGGCTAACACTTATAACTAGAACTAGATATTAAACAGTAAACAAATAGGCTAATTTAGGCCCATTAATTAATTTACTAGGCCTAAACCACTACGCTCATACTATTAAAACCGTTACTAATACTAAATGAATTACTTAGAGCTAGACATTAGGCTTATGTGCAGTTGGCTAGATATTATGTCATAGAATGTACAGATGTAAACTATTCTATTTAAAGATTATTGAAAGTTTCTATTCTATCTCTTCAGCTGAAAAGGACATGATATTTATAGGCATACTGGCTGGTAGCTCTACAAATAGCAGTGAGTTGACAATTGATAAGCCTTGTGGACGAAAAGTAAGAAAGTTGGAGAGAACCTCCTACACTGTCAATGGCAAGAATGTTTGCAGGGAGGCATTCAAGTTTATATATGGGTAAGTCATCTGGATGATTGATATTTTTTTAACTGTGATGCTCAAAACATAAAACACATATGATTTAATGTTAAAAAAATTTTGGAAACCAGGTAGTAAAAATCATTATTAATTTAATGTTATTTTAATGTATTTTTAATGTTTCAGAATTAGCCAAAACAAGCTGACCAATGTCCAGAAAAGATTCAGGGCCTGGAGGGATACAGGCAGTATTCCGGAAAAGAAGTGGGGCGGTAGAAGGTTAAATAAGCATGCTTTAAAACCTGACGATGTTGAGCGGGTTGTTACCTTCCAACAGTAATTAACCCACCAGGTCTCTCGGCAGAGCGTCAAGAATATTTGCACAAAAACATACGTCCTTTTGTGCGATCTGATGTGCAGGATGTTCTTTGTCCTTAAACTTCTTAAGTTGAGCAACACTTTGATTTAATTTTTATGTGTCTAAGTTAATTACTTATTTTTTTATGATTTTTTGAAGATTCATTAAATTGTTATTTTTACCTCCTTTTGGAAACATTTCAAAATGTGACAAAATACCATTTTCATTTCAATAAATTTTTAAAATGTAACAATTTAAACCCATGAAAAAAATTGAGTTTGTTCTCTATGTATATGAGATTGTAATGAGTGTAAGTGATTGTGTTTAAGTCATTTACTTCTACAGATATGGCTTTGCAAAATGGTACTTTATATTGTGTTTAAAAAATCAAAATATGAAGATTTTAAAAAAAAATCATTTTAAATAACTATGGGGGATATATGGACAAATGTGGTATCCACATTCTTAGAATCATTAGATCTCACTCAATCACCAAAAAGAGAGCTGTAAAACGATTTTGAAAAATCAGTTTGTGGTACCTACTAATACACCTTAATACTATTTTTTTTAACTAAAACCTAAATTTTTATATTTTCTTTTTTACGCATAACAAAAAAAGTATATAACATTTTCCTTTCAAATATTCCACATATCTTGAGTAAAAAGGGTTGAATAAGTGTGCCTAATTTAAACAAAATCCATAAACAGTTGCTAAGGAAATTCTTAGTCCGAAAAATATATTTAGTAAAATCAATTTTTCTCAAAATCAGGGCTTGGATAGTGGCTCCAATAAAATATTCATAACTAAATATGTTACTGTTAGATTTTCAAGCGGTTTTCACCGTTGAATTAAAAGATATATAAGACTAGATAAAAATCTCTAAATGGCCATCAGGTGAGAAGCGACTCATTTTGTCGTGGAGGGTCACATATGAGAATTATTTATACAATGAAAGCTTTTTTAAAAATAAATCCAGAAGTCTTGGCGATCCATAATGACGTTTATTTTTGTGTGTCTTTATCTGATCACTTGTGTCTAGAAAATGTTAAGAGATCATAATTTTTATACATTATTTGTAATTGGCTGAATTTTCTTTTATGGCTGAGTTTTCATACTCAGGGAATTTCCCCTCTCCTCTATTTTAAAAGGGTGAGATGTATTCTTTTGATTATGGGGTTGATCAGCCACCAATGAGCCACAGGGTGGCTTAAATATCTAGTGAAAAGAAGGATTTGATGTTTTGTTATTATAAATACCTTGTATTGAAATATTCTACAGAATGTAATATAAATGATTTCTTGAAATATAATTTTTTTTTTAAAAAGAAGCTTTTCAATTTAATTCAAAAGTTTAATAAATTAACTCATTATTTTACATTTTTATTTTTTTTATTATACTTGGTGAAATAAGCATCAAGCTGTTTCATATTACTCTTTATTACTTACTGTCAAATAAATCACAACTTGAAAAATAAATTCTGCACCTTCAGAAGGCTTAAAACATTATTCAAATTGTCCAATGGGAATATGACAACCCATTTTTTCCTCTTAACTCCCAACTAACTAATTTTTGTCTGTTGTTTGGAGACTCTGGAATGCAAGAAAACAGACAGAGCAAGTATAGAGACTCCTGCCTCCACAATGATGACAGCTGTCTTTCCTGCCTCCACAGTGATGACAGCTGGTTTAGCCAAGCAGATGAATGATGTTGTTTTTAAGCTTGATACCCTAACCTCAAGAGTAGTGCTTTTGGAAAACAGAGTAATGATGTTAGAGGCTAGGGTGAGTAAAATGCTTATTAGAAGCTAGGGTGAGTAAAATGATAAAAATATCTATTAACTGGGCTTTGGGATAGGACTTGCATGCAATTAAATAAAATGCACTACCAGAAGGCTATTTAATTATTTATTTAAAATACAGGTTTCAAAATAATATAAAAGAGCATTTTTTTTGTTCATATAATTTTAACCAATATTTTTTAATGTTCTTTATGTGTTAAAGTTGGAGGACGAGTCTAGCAGAAGTCATGCCTTTGTCTCACAATCTGATAATATAAATTCAAAGAAGCCACCCATGGTCCCAACTCCTCGGCATAAAGTTGAGAATCCTATACGAGAAAATGACAGTATATATAGAAGTAAAATTTCACAAAAGGAAGCATTTAGCGATGATGAGGATGAGACCAACAGAGAAAGAATAAAAAGACACAACAGCGCTGATTTTGATGAGGAGAGTTACAATGAAGCCAGTGTTAATGAAATTCCAGTAAAGATTATAAGAGAAACCAGTGAGGGAGCAGAATTAAAGACAGGGTTTATGAAATCACTTTTAAATCGAGATGGTAAGAATATTTTAGATTGTTAAATTGATTTGAATGAAATTTAGAATGGTGTGCGAACGTTCAAATGTTGCTAAACATAATTTAATAAGTATATCAGTTCAGTTAAATACTGTTTATCTATCTTCAGATTCTACATTGATTTCTGATCTGAGTGCCATAGATCTTCTTGATGAAAAAGAAGAATCTCAAATTCAAGTGCATAGTAAAGAGGCTGCTTTTGAAAAAGAAACATTATCTGACTCTGAACTGAAGTCTAAATATGGTTCTAATAAATCAGCTGTCACTAACTCTGATTTGTTTGATGCCATATTCTCACCAATTCGGTCATTTAGTGACACTAAAAGCTGCACTGGCCAGGGAGATGGGTCAGAAAAAAAACCTTCTAATAAACCGCAAAATTCTGAAGATGACAGAAGGTCCAGCACACCCACTCATATGGCCTTAGATACTTCCACTTTGGACAGGGTCAGTCGTATCACACAAATGATGGCAGAAACCAAACAGCTTCTTCATTAGCCAGAAACAATACTGAAACCTACTCAATTTAATTCTAAAACGAATGACTAAAATAATGATGCTTCATTACAGTTTTGAAGCACTTGATTTGAGTACACATTCAATACAAGACCAAGTAAAGACCAATTGATTCATATTCATCTGGCTCACTCAGTTGCTAAACTCTGATGATTTACTCAAAAGCCCAAATAACTACAATATAATGGGAGGCATGCTGCAAGAGTAAATATAAAGAAGACATTATGAGAAAATTGGAAAAAGATCAAAGAATTATTTTTTCAAATATTATCAACTACATTATTTATTAAAATAATTACTAATGGCTGTGAAACACCAACTTCAGAATATTAAACAAGAATATATTAATTTTAAAAAAACAGAATTAAGAGTTTGGTGAAATATGTGACTTAATTTCTGACAATCATTCAAAATAATTTTATATTAATTTTGATACATGTCTCCCATGCAAACAGTGATCTCAATATTCCATATAACCATATATCCAGCCATAATATTTTCACTCTTTTACCACCTGCAAAGAGGGCCATCACTTCACTAGGGGAAATAATCCTGAATTTAGCATTGATTCCCTTGTTAGGAATTTTACAGCTGTCATCATTCATAAACATATGATGTCTTGACTTGAAGTGGTGCAGGAGGTACAAAACTCACTTGCCTTGTAGTTAACAGGTTTTTAAAAATTTCATTTGTCACATCTCTTTTTATTATCTTTTAAAATCATATAACCAAAAGGTTGTAATATAAAACCTATCTATGCCTATGCTTATTATGTAAACAAATCATTGTGATACTTCGTTCTTTTTTTTTTGTGTGGTTCATTTATGTGACATAAATAAATACGGTATTTAACATTGTTAGAAAGGTACTTCAAAATGACACCTTTTTGGTAAATTTATTATTTTACTCTAAAATATATTTTTTTGCCCCTGTTTTTTTGTTTGCTTGTACTTGTAGTTGTAATAGCAGGTTTAATATTTATTCATACAAGTCAATTGAGTAATATTGTATGCATTGCTGTAGCTGTAATATTATTATCATTGGTTATGTTTGTTCATCATTTATTTCATACATTAGTTACCCGGTATTGTATTTTTGCGGGTTTCCTCATAATAAAATAATGTTTTTCAGTTCTTAAAATATATTTTAAGGAACGTTAGACTCTATTGGATACAGCCTTTTCTTTTGGTGCCATTGCTTGTTCAAAGATTTGAGTTAGAACTAAGTTACAGAGGCTTCTCAAAGAGAGTTCCTCAAGTTGATTTTGTTTGTCATTATGCAAAGGAAATACTTGAACTTGTAATTATCCAAAAAGTATTGTAAAATATACTTTCCCAGTAAATGTAAATTTTAACCTACTTATGCTTAGAGGCTGTATCAGTTGTGGTGATCAAGACAAAGTTCATGTCATGAAACATTTCGTTCTACACCAATAACTTTTTTGGATATGGCTGCGTTGCAAAATTGTGATGATGAAATTGAAATAGCAAAACGAGGTATGTGGAAGCTTGAATTTAAAGACAGGACAATAATATTAGAACATTTTGGCATAGATTCTTCCTCAGCGCACAGGACAAATGAAAATATCACAAGGAACGGAGCACAGTAAACAACTCGAGAAATATCCAGAAAACCAGGGAGAATAGAAAAGGCATGAAGAAAAGAAAGATAACACAGCTATATATTTAATTAACTTGATATTCTTATATATTAGAGAGGTGTATGCAACTAACATACTCTAATTGTATTATAATGACAAGATAGATGTTTAAAGCGACAAATATATATAGCACGACATTAATCTGCTTTGGTATATTTTATATCAAGTATTGAAGTTTGTATTTTGAAAATTTAAAAACACCTATACTATTACAATTGTCAACCTTTTAAACATAACCCAAATAATTCTTGGGGTTGGAGAGGCCAGATAGAGGTGGTAAAAAAAATCATTTGTTGGGAATATAACCAATGAAATCTTCACAAAGACCTTTTTTTCTTTTTATTATTGTCCAAAAAAGGGGGAGATATCTCCTACTCACATTGCAGAACATAGGGAAATTACCCATTCTCAAAAACAAAACAAAAAGACATGGACTCCAGTCTATTTAAACTCTAAGAACAAAGCAAATTTTTAGTTTTTAAAAATAATTATTTCCCTCGCATAGTGATGAGACAAGCTTACCCTGCATTTTTCTCAATCATTCATGAACACAAAGCCCTAAGTCCAATATAATAAATGCCCTGCTGGAGAACCATTGTTGTCTTAGTCAATGGCTGTTTAAAGAAAGAGGCCGTCAAACCCCCAAAAAAGTTCAACTTTACTAAATAAAAAATTAAGGAACAATTCAAATATATCAAATAAGATGAGATGAGAAACTGAACACAACACAAAGAAACAGGAGTGTGACCAAGCAAGGCATGAAATAAGCACAGAATATGTGGAAGTCAAAGTGAACATGCACTAGTGGCATTGATGGTGACATTTTAGAATTATAGACTTGGTATTACAGTTTGCTTTTCCATCACTGACCACGATTAATACAAAGAAACAAAAATTATATGTACTGTTACACTTTCCTAATTTAAACATCTTTTTTTTTCTCCTATGACACAGATTAAAGGTACCACCAGGGGTGTAGCTGGGCGAGGAGTCCCGCGTTCTAACCCCCCCCCCCCCCCCC